ATTGATAATATTAAAGAAACTCTGAGCGAAGTAAACTACCGCACAGAGTTTGCAGAGCACCGTTAGACGATTAAGTTGTAAAACTTCAAAAACAGCTTTCATATATTTACCAGATAAAGATCTCTCGACTATATCCAACAGTACCGACTCCAAGAACTTTAATAATTGAAGATATAAAAGAAAATGAAGACTCAGAAGTGTGATTTATGCGCGCATCGAACGGTTAAATAACGCTACATTAATGCTCATGAATACATTAACGGCGCTTAATTCGCAAAAATTTAAAACGTAATAAATTAAAACTGCTTGCGTTGGTCCATTTATTGTTAGGTATTATTGCGGGCTTAATAAAATGTATTATATTTGATTGAGACTGATATTTGTGAGGATTTGTATATAAAACTCTAGTCCATAATAAACAAATAAATAAATGCTTGATTTCTTCAAGTAACAAACAGAAACAAAATAGTACACGGGTCCTTCTAGAAAGTTTAAAAAAAACCGTGTCATGAGTCCCCGCTCTTCCTTTGTATACATAACATAAACACTCACGCCTGTCACCCAGACGGGTAGGCAGAGACTATGTACTTCCATTTGGCGCGATCCTGACACACCTCTCTCGCTTCCTCCACATCCATATACCTACGCATACACGCTCGTCGGTTAAATATACTCTTGATTTGGCCCATTTTCAATATATCGCCAATTTGGTCGATAAACTTTCGCATAGGGCGTCCCTTACCGACTCTGCCGTTTACAACATAAATTCTAATTTAAAATTTATTTTATTTAAAAAGAAATCTTTATTCAAAATTAGTCATTTGTTTATTGATTAACGTCATATTTTCATCGCATTTGAATCTTTTTCATTATAATGGATACGTTAAAAATTCGAGTAATTATGGAATATGAGTTACAACGACGTTTACGGAGCAAATACCTACTACAAACGAACGCACCACCTGTCATTGATTTGCCTGCTTCCGTTCTGGAAATTTCGACCGGAAAAATGAAATATAGGCGCTTGTGAACGCTAATGATACTCAATCTACGGCTGAATTAGCAGCAGCTTTCGACGTTAGCATCAAAACAATATTGATCCATTTGCGTCAAATTGGCAAGGTAAAAAAGCTTGATAAATGGTTGCTCCACGGACTCAATGATCACCAGCGCGAATTACGCGTCAAGACGTGCCTTGCACTGCTCAACGGGCACGCAAACCTGTGACGAAAAATGGAATCTGTTTGACAATCGCAAGCGCTCAGCAAATTCAAATTTAAATTCATTTATTTACCAGAATGTAAGTGTACAATAAAGTATGATCTTAAATTATATCTAATGGCCCATTTACATTTTACCACTAAATATTGTGTGCAAGTATTTTCTAGGTATACATGCAATTTTTTTTAAACAATTAATAGGTACTCAATTGTATACATTTACGATGATTAAAAGGTGGATTTGGCATTTGAAAAAGATTTGGCAAGGTGGTTGAATCCTGGTTCAGCACCTAAACAATGCCTTAAACGAAAACTTACCCCTAGAAAAGTGATGGTCACTGTTTAGTGGTCTAGCGCCGCGCCGGTGTGATTCATGACAGCTTCTTACCAAACGGGATGAGCATTACTGCAGATGTGTACTGTGAAGAACTGAACACAGTGATGGAAAAACTCGCACGTCTTCAACCTGCTTTGGTTAATCGCTCGTCCCCGCTACTCCTACACGACTACGCGCGACCTCATACTGCACAACAGACGGTCTCCAAGTTACAAGAGCTCGGGTTGGATGCTCTCCGTAATCAGCTCGCGGTACTTAACAGACCTTGCGGCTATTGACTTCTACTTTTCCCAGAATTTGGATAATTTTTTGGCGGGAATAAAATTCAATACCCGAAAGGCAGTACAAAATGCCATTGAAGAATTTGTTGCCTCCCGTCCAGCTGATTTCTTTACGAAGGGCATCAATAAACTGCCATTGCGCTGGCAAAGATGCATCGATTGAATGGGTGATTAATTTGATTAATCGCAATAAAAAATATAGAAAAAGAAATTACGTAAACTTATTTATAAAAAACGGCAATTTCATAGGTAAAGACCTAATATATTAAAGATTCTACTCTAAAGACTTCTATGCATACCATTGCCTCCTCTATAAATTGCTTCATAGGTTCAGCTGGCGAGTTCGCAACGACAGTTTTTTTTATTTGTTATTAGTGAGACGCTGCTGCTGCTTACGACACCCTCAGAACAATATGGGGTAGTTGATATCCTTACACCACCACTACACGGTGGCTTTGAAGCGTTATTTAAGAAGAAATTCCAATTTAATAAAAGCATCCGATATCCCAGTAGTACGTATGATAACCAAGCCTTATGCCGTACGCGTGCAGTTAGCAATAAGTCTTATAATCGTGTAATGGATTCCTAAGAATTATGTCCAGCTATAAACCGTTTATGGTCTAATAATAATCTACAGACATCATAAAAACATGATGTCTGTGTGATAATGACGCTTAAAGAAACAATTATTATTATTATTATATTTTAATTAATTTCGATCCGTTGAGTTTTATGACGCTTATACAAAGGCCTTCATTGCTCACAACGTAAAATAGGTATATAATTTCGTTAATTGCGTATTTCACACGTGACGTCAGTAACTGGAAGGTGTTTATGGTTTCTAACAGTTTCTTTAGATAGTACCTAATTTATAAAACGTTTCCTCGACTTTCGCCGAACTTTCCGACTTATCTAAAAATAGTATAATTTTTTCTCTTCTATATAGAATAAAGGTGTTGTTAAGCAGTGGCGGCTAGACACGTGCCTAAGGGCGCGAGGTTAAAAAGAGGCACACGTGGAAATTTTTAAACGAAAAAAACAAAGTACTTACTTGCATAAAATTAAAAAATATACCTACTTTCTATAGAGGTGTAGAGCTTTCAAAGCGCGGCCCGTCTACTTGAATGCTCCTACTTCGCCCTCACTCTCCCATCACGTTTTTCATTCATCCATACCTGTTACGTGTCCTAATTATTTTGCAACTAAACTATATTATAAATTATACTTATTGTTCATTTGCAAAATGACTAGTTATAGTTAATACCTAATATATGGCTACCAGATGAACGCCGATGAGGTGCTAGCCTAGGGCACTCACTGTCAACATTTAATCCGCCCCTGATAGTAAGTGGATGCTGTAGCCCATAGACGTCTACATCTATCTACGATTAAGTATAAAAATACAGATGCATTGTCACCCGTGAGGACAGATGAAATGCCACGTTTCCACTAAAAAAGGGTCTCCAGTTCTCTACGTTCACCATGCGAAACACAGCAGCATGAAGCTGCTATTTTACGCTCGTATTCTGTTAGAGCGTGGTCTACATTCATAATATAGCTGCAGCATGGCTCTTAATACTTATAATACTTAATCACGACTGCTAATCATGAGGTGTTTGGTATGAATCCCGGGTTGGGACAGCCTGGAGTCAGGTATTGAGCAGTTTCATACGTGTGCCTCAAAAAGTTGCCATAGTTCCTTAACTTGTCAGGCGGTTTGATAGCCGCCACAGTTTTTTATTATTTTCACTTATCAGAAAAATGCTGCTGCCCATCTCCCGTTTGTTTCCGTCACCTTTTACCCCACGGGATAATATGTAGTAGTGGATTCTCATACACCACAAATACACGACACGATTTTTAGGTAGATAATTCCGACTTTAAAATCATTTTAATTTTATTATATATTTTTTAACCTAAGCTAGTGCTTGATGGTATGCGGTGATTTAGCCAGACATTGTAAGCCGCAATGGCTTAGCAATTTTATTATGCTATATTATAGGAAAGCTATGTTCTTTGTGTTGGGGAATATTAATAAAACTTGCATTTGATTGCGTTACATTTATTATTTAATTCAACTTACTTTATTTACACTTTTTTGTTTTATTAATAAAAATAAAAGATTTATACCTAGACGTATAAAACGCAATTTAGGTGCAAATGACAAAAAATAAGTAAGGCGACCGACCGTCCCCGACTTAACAGTACACATGCATACAACAGTTCCGCAATACAATTATATTTTTGCAGTATAATATTTAATAAAATAAAATTTGCATTTCGCAAATCCCACGTTTCTGACAAAATCTTGCTTTATTGAAGGAAAAAATTATCACTTACGGTAAGGAAGTGCTGCTTATTGTAAGATTTAAGCTTTAAAAACTTTCACAGAATTCGTAACTAAAAATTATTTGGACTCATAAAATTGGCAACCCTATTTAGTCTAGGAGGAATCGGCGCATGAGTACAAAAAACAACCACCTCAATTTTTTTATGCGATTCTCTTCAAATAGTCCTACTGATGATATAAATGCATGTTCCCATGGAGCAACTCCGTGCCATATTGTTTAAACCGAAATTGTTTAAACAATTGCAAGGTATTGTTATTTTCAAACGGGATATTTTTTTATAATTTTTGATGAAATACGAATAAAAAAGGTCCTATGAAATAAAAAACTTTTTACGATAAAGTTAATATTTACGGAGTTATGATTTTTTTAAAACGAATTGTTGTCAATGCGTTGTTGTAGTCAATACACGATATATTGACAACAATAGGGTTGCCTAATGCAAAATACATTTTATATTAACATAAATATATTTAAGTGTATTAATTACTGTAACCTTTCTTAGTGCTTACAACATTTATAATGCTCTCACTTTACAGGTTATGTTTAATAAGATAATATGTAATCTATTTTTGTTCTCTTATGTGCATGGTGTAACATGCTGTGTGCAAATTCATGGTATTTTATTGCGAAATATTTTCCTTTCGTTTTTGAGATTTTTATAAATAAGACCGTTTGCACTTTTTCGACATATAACTTTCTTTTCTTAAAATACCATTTATAGTGTACTAATTTATATGCCTCTATAACATAAGTCAGATGGAAAATAAAATAGCATTTCTTTCTATGTCACAATTTTAATTATGTCAATTAGCTACAAATATTTCTTGTGTTTTCTCCTCTCGTTATAACTATCGCTTGTGTGTTTGTCGTAATATCTGCTATCCTCATCAAGATGCCTGTGAGATTTATACTCATGTTTTCTACTGGATTGGTTGTCTCTGTCATAATCATCTTTCTTTCTTTCTCTAGAGCTGTTTTGATATTTATCGTGTCGGTGACTATGAAAGTCATTTCTTACATCCCTTCTGTCACTTTTAAGTCTAGCCCTTGGAGAAACTTCCCTTTTAATTTTAGCGCCAGAAGAACTATCTCTTCTGTAACGGTATTCTCGATCATCATGTTCTTTATTATGGTGGTGCTTCTTTGCCTTCCTTTCACTGGAATTCTCCCTGTTCTTCATATATATATCGTCATAATTAGTTTGCAGAGGCCTCTCTTTAGTTTCTTTGTGTGGAGTTTCAATTCTTTCCATTTTAATTGGATGGTTATAACCCTCTTTAGCCTGTACTTGTGCTGTGCTGTGGACCTGTGCTTCTGTATAAAGCTCCATCTGCAAAAAAAACAGTACTTAGTTTTAAAAAAAATTACACATTTGTGCTATGTAAAAAAATTGCCATTTCATGGTGACACCAGTATACTTTTAAAGTTGTTGTTATGTTACCATTCCACAGTGCTCTAAAGAAAGAAGGATGCCCATTTTTCACCTGACTATGTATAGAAATGAAATAAATCTTAAAATTCAGCTAATTTAATTCTAAATTAAATATGCGTATCACAATATTAAAAGAAACGCAGGAGAAACATATTTTTAATATTTATTTATGCTTATTCTACTTCAAGGGTAAACTTATTACCACCATATTTTGAACGCATCTCAACTACACTTTTTGTAGGACGTTCCATTTCACATACTTCGCATTTCGCTACTTGACTTAATTGAACTCTGTTTCTGATATAAACATTTATTTTATTTCATCAGTAAGTATTTCTTTATATTCTTATATATATATATATATATATATGTATATATATACAACGTGTCCCAAAATTCAACGATAAGCCAACACCGGAGGATAGACCTGCCCCGGACTAATCGGGTAAAAAAAGAAAAAAAAATATATCCCAATTATATTTTAAGTTATATAAAAAAAATGAAATTCTTCAGAAATTGAGACCGTTTATGATATTTTTCACTACCATGACCACAATTTTTTAAATATTTTTTTCTTTTTTTTTATAGGCAACCTGAATAGTACTGCTATCTACCACAATTCTTAAAAACTCCAGAATAACTCTTGTTTTATCACGAAAATTAATGAAACTTATTTTATTCCCTAAATTTTTTGAAGACTTTTACTTTTAACCAAATTTAACTTATCGTGGTGTAAAAAAAAAGTATGAACACTAGTATGGCAAGTTTTTTTAAAAATTGACGCAACTAACCAATATTCCAAAATGGTATAATACTCTAGGAAAACAAGTTATAAAAAAATATGGGCCTATTATTTCTTAACAGGGGCCAAATTCCTTAAATTGTAATTGTCAGTAATCACTTTTACTACATGCCCAAAATGGGTTCCTGTTACAATTTCTAGGAATTCGAATGGGGCATTAATACCTTAGATGTTAGAGAGAGATAGATAGATAGAGATATTTACGTTAAAAAGAGACAACAACAGGGCAGGTAGAGAAGCTGTTATTATTCTCAGCAAGTCGGTTCAGTACGCTCTGCTCCTTTGTTTACTGCGCACCGTACCCAATTCAACTTACGTGGCCCTCGTACATACTATCGACTTTTGGCTTGGCTTTTTGGACTGGAATCGACCTGCAAACTTAACTGACCTGGCATTATTTGGACTGGAAGTGATCTGCAAACTGAACTGACCTGGCATTATCTTGGACTACGATTGTGTGTTTTGTGATTTAGAGTTCTGGCGCATTTTGGACTGTTTGGCGTTTAACATGCCGCAACCGTACACACCACAGGAATACGCTAATATGCATTTAATCTATGGAGAATGCCGATGTAATGCTAACGCTGCTAGCAGACTGTATCCAGAAAGATACCCAAATGCTCGAAGATATCCTGATTATCGAGTGTTTATTAATGTGCATCAAGCGTTTTCGGAGGGTCGTATGCCATCCAATAGGAGCAGCGCTGGAAGACCTAGATTGGATCGTGATGAAGAAGTTCTCAAGGAGATAGAAAATGACTCGACTACTTCGGTACGTGCCATAGAAGAAGCTACAGGAATCCCGAAAAGTTCTGCACATCGAATATTAAAACGTCACAAGCTTCACCCATATCACTACAGGCGTGTGCAGACGTTATTACCGCGGGACTATCCGCTACGGGTCACATTTTGCCGTGTAATGCTGCAAAGGCACAGTGAAGATCCCCACTTCCTAGACAAAATTCTATGGTCGGATGAAACAACGTGCAAGAAAGATGGGTATTTAAATCTTCACAATCTACATAGTTGGAGTAATGAAAATCCACACTTGATGAGACAAGACAAATCCCAATATCAATTCAAGGTTAACCTATGGACCGGCATATTAAATGGAAAAGTAATTGGGCCCTTTGAGTTACAAGGAAACTTAGATGGCAATAGTTATTTAAACTTTTTACAAAATGACTTGCAAGAATTGTTAAACGACGTGCCCTTAAGTGATCTTCAAAACATGTGGTTCCAAAATGATGGTTGCCCAGCACATTATGCCCGTCCTGTGCGAGAATATTTAAATCAAGAGTATCCAGGGCGTTGGATCGGGCGACTTGGTCCTATCTTATGGCCACCCCGTTCACCCGATTTGAACCCCCTGGACTTCTTCTATTGGGGTTGTCTTAAAAACAGGGTCTACTCAAAACCCATTGTGACATTGGACGAGCTTCGTCGAAATATCACTCAGGCTGCTGATTACATTAATAGCAGAAGATATGCAAGACAAATAAAACGATCATTTTTAAGGCGATGTCGTGCATGTATTAATGCTGGTGGCAAACAGTTCGAACATTTGCTATAATGTTAATAACTTAATAAATTACACGTGAAACTGTTTGTACCATTTGTTTTGAAATATTAAACATTTTTCAAGAAATAATACTTTTATTACACCCGACCGTCATTTGGCCCCTGTTAAGAAATAATAGGCCCATATTTTTTTATAACTTGTTTTCCTAGAGTATTATACCATTTTGGAATATTGGTTAGTTGCGTCAATTTTTAAAAAAACTTGCCATACTAGTGTTCATACTTTTTTTTTACACCACGATAAGTTAAATTTGGTTAAAAGTAAAAGTCTTCAAAAAATTTAGGGAATAAAATAAGTTTCATTAATTTTCGTGATAAAACAAGAGTTATTCTGGAGTTTTTAAGAATTGTGGTAGATAGCAGTACTATTCAGGTTGCCTATAAAAAAAAAAGAAAAAAATATTTAAAAAATTGTGGTCATGGTAGTGAAAAATATCATAAACGGTCTCAATTTCTGAAGAATTTCATTTTTTTTATATAACTTAAAATATAATTGGGATATATTTTTTTTTCTTTTTTTACCCGATTAGTCCGGGGCAGGTCTATCCTCCGGTGTTGGCTTATCGTTGAATTTTGGGACACGTTGTATATATACAGGGTATTTTTGGAACGCTCCCGAAAACTAAGACAGGCGACAGCACCAAGTATACCTTTGATCATGGGTCACAAATAAATTTGATCCTGATGAAAAAAAAATCATATTTTTACAACATTTTATTAGCTTTATTCACGCGCCATCATGCTAGTACAGCTAAATGAAACGATAATTTCATTAAAAAATTTATGAAAATACTGAAACATAAAACCAGCAGTGGAAACTGAATTGATATCACCTGACTAATGGAGGTTAATGTACGCACGAACGGTGAAAAAAGAACGCTGGCCTTGAACTTGGGCACTGAGCGATTTATCACATATTGGTACGAAGGGGGCGCGACGGGGGAACAATCCGCCAGTATTACTGTGCCTGCATGCTATTGGTTCCCGCGCTTTGTTCGCTCCGAAAATACAGTCGCATACACAGCTTACTTTGCGACTCGCGACGATGTTTTAAAAAGGAAGGTAAGAAAAATTATTTATATCTATTGTTTTATGACTAAACTAGTGAACGAAAAGGTAAATATGATAGGAGAAGGTGAATGGGAAAAATTGTGCAGTAAAATTAAAAGTGTTGAGGAAGAATATCGAAAAAATTACCATGTGATCGACCTGATGACGGAAGCTCAAGCGAAGATGAAAGTGATGATGAAGTAGCATCCAGTAACACCAACACACCATCAACATCTGGCTTCCATGTGGCCCAAGACGTCATAATGGACGGCGTGTCACCCTTAGCTTAAGTTTTCTTGTTACAAACTACTTTATATTTTACGATAGAAATTACAAATAATGCTCAAGTAAACATTAACCATTTTTAATTCCCACCTCTTCCAAAGTTCTAAGTAGCTAGTAAAACACCTAGTATGATTCTACAATAAAACAATTAATTACTATAATATTATAAAACAAGAGCCCAATACCATGTAGTACTTTAGAACGCGACTGTACCCACATTCCCTCCGCTGTCGACCTGTATCTAGCTCGGTACGAAACAATGCTGCGGTCATAAGAAAAAAGGGCGCATCTAACAATTTTTGAATAAATGAGTTAAATATACCATTCGACTCATGATAAGAAGGCGCATCTACTAATTTTTTTTAAATTATTAAATATCAATATTTTAGAAATTATCGTAAGAATTTTAGACGTAACTGTTGATCACAGATGACATTTTTTTAGTAGAAAAGACTTATACAAATTCAACATAAAAGAAAAGACTTATTTAACCAGTTGCTACGTCATCTTTAACAATATTTGCATCGATTACTTAAATTTCAATTATTCTTTTCTTATTATTCTATATCTTATTATTAAGAGCTTATATCTTATTACTAAGAGCTGGTGTTTCACATGTGGTCCCATATAAATTTAATCGAGGTTAGACCAATAGTTTTTGAGTTATCCTTAATTATTTATATTAAAGTCGGTTGTACAAAATTTTAAATTTTTAATTATTATCGTAGTAAGTCTTGTATGATATCCCCTTTAAAATCATTACTCAAGAGTTGCGGGTTGTTATTTTTTGTGTCTCACTACCAATGCTTTTCTAATATTTACTAAGAAAAAAGTAGTAAATTACTATTAGCGTCGTTTCAACTTCAAATGACCTTTCCAAAATAGGTAAAAGTGTTAAATAAATGGCAGTTTTTATATTTATTAGATTGGGAAGACGCAAATAGTTACATGCGTCTTTCTTTCGATGTTTTTGTGTTACCAGGTGTATTTTTTAAGCTAAGATGAAAAGGAAAATTCGTTTTATTTAAATAAATAAACAAATTATCAAAAAAATAAGTTCGTCCTTAAAATCTTCATGTCTCTACGTATATATTTCAATTTTCATATAGATACCTTTTAATATACTTTAGACACAGGGTCTGAAAGAAAAATTCATCAATTTATTTTTTATTTCCATTTTACGTTTTTGTTAGTTGCGTCCTTCTTTATTATGACGGCAGAATGTAACCCGGCCGGCTCGTGTCGCCTCACGCTGTGACGCAGTAGGTTTCAGTTTTGTCGGGGTTCGTTATTAATTGTAGTTTTTGAAACAGTTCCGTGTTGATTTTGTACACGCGTGCGCGAGCGACAGCTCGTTTTGTTTATTAAATTGTTATTACTTGTGATTACGTGTTGGTATTATTCTTGTTGTTACGTTTTTTGTTTTAATAATGCTTAACGCGTACGTTTATAGTGATTGTGAATACGGCAACATGTTAGGTATCCGAACCTAGGTACACGAAGTATCGCTAAATAAATTGTTAAGACGTCGGGATGGAACAAGTGTATCATACTGTGCAGTGCACAAAGTGTTGAAGCGTAATCGAATGCGCCCATACAAATTGCACAAAGTGTAAGCTTTAGTTCCCGGCGATCACGACCGCCGACGAGTTTTCTGCCGTTGGTTATTATACCAGCAACAACGTGTGCCTGGTTCTATTGAGCACATTATCTGGACGGATGAGTCGACATTTACCAGAAACGGCCTGTGGAACCGAAGAAATACACACGTGTATTCAGAGGTTAAGCCGCACGCTGTTCGACAAACCGGGCACCAAACCCGATGGTCGGTTAACGTATGGGCAGGTTTATTTAAGGATCGCATACTGGGAACAGTGTTTCTGCCAGAGCGACTGAACGGACAGCGATACCTAAACTTTATAAATGAACAGTTGGTTGACATTTTAAACGACCTATCGTTGGCTGAATATCGCCGCACATAGTTCCAGCATGATGGTACCCCTCCACATTTCGTGAGGTTCGTCCGTGAGCGCCTCAATGAACTATTTGATGATCGCTAGATCGGCAGAATAGGACCACACGCTTGGCCACCTCGCTCACCAGATCTGACCCCGTTAGACTTCTTTTTGTGAGATATGTGAAAAAAAAGGGTTTTTAATCGTGAGTGTGATAGTGCTGACGAAATGCGCCAAAGGATCGTGGATGCTTTCGAGAAACTACGTTCAGACTGTGTCGAAGACCACACGATGATGCCCCGCCGCCTGCACCCAAATCTACCTTGAAATGAATGGAGCACAATTTGAGCCGCATCTCATAAGACCACGGAGGATTTAGAGCGGTAAGCTGTTTCATAACAATTTTTTTAAATAACTTAGTACTAGACTAATCTGAATAGGTACATAACTGAATAAATGAGAATAATAAACATACCTACACGATGAATAAAAACGCATGACTCCAACCTTGGTTACATTTCATTTAAGTATTTTTTCATTAGCGGGGAATCGAACCAGTTATTTGGGTTATTTAACCTGTAAATTCGGATTAAAGTGGCTACGTGGAGACAAGCACAGAGGCAAAATAGTAGGTTAAGTAGATAAGTTAGGTATTTAGACAAGTGTTGTAAATTATTAGGTATTGTGGTATGGCCCGCTAGTTGCGGGCCGCGCGAATTTGCGTTCGCGCGTACATTGACCTTTGATCAGGTGATATCAATTCAGTAATTCCACTGCTGGTTTTATGTTTCATTATTTTCATGATATTTTTTATGAAATTATCGTTTCATTTAGCTGTACTAACATGATGGCGCGTGAATAAAGCTAATAAAACGTTGTAAAAAGATGATTTTTTTTTCATCAGGATCGAATTTATTTGTGACCCATGATCAAAGGTATACTTGGTGTTGTCGCCTGTCTTAGTTTTCGGGAGCGTTCCAAAAATACCCTGTATATATATATATATATATATATATATATATATATATATATATATTCCTTTTTATATATGTTTCTTTATTACTTTTTGTATAGTACAGATTAATTAAAAATTATATAATAATTAAATAAATTAATAATGCAGTATGTCATTGAGTGCACACGAGTGAAACTACTAAAAAATAACTAATATAAACTGAGAATATAATCGCTTGTTGTGTTTGCGTCTCGTTGTGTATTGTGCCATTTTGTGTGTTTTTCATTGATCATATAGAATAGAAATATGTAGGGATACACAAGATTTTTCTCAGTATAATCTCAGAGGAAGTGGTGAATGGTGATAGAACATTAATAAGAGATTTTATTGTTTTATCAAACAAAAATTAAGTATTTGGTAATGGCAAATCCTCACCTAAAGAGTAAAATTAATATTTTTGGGCTTCGTAGTGTTTGAATCGTAAAAATGACTACATGGCATTATTTTGTGTGATGTAAATCAGTTCGCTGCGAACTGATTTATTTTCATGTTCGCTGAGTGAGCTCAGTAAAATGGCATATCATACTGTATCGTTGCCTACACTGTCGAATTAGGGTACTCACCCTGTAATGATTGTGTATGTTGTATGTGTGTGTAAATAAATAAAAATAAATAAATAAAATTTTCTAAACTTACAGGAAGTTTTTCTTTATATAGCTTATAACTATACATAATACTTTTACTATCAGGTTTAAATATATGAAAAGTGGGCATGGTTCTTTGATATGATGATCAAACACATATGATTTAATAATATCAATAATGTTTCTTTAAATTCAACAAACAAAAGTTAAGTTTGAAATTGCATATAAATGAAAGTTACAGTTAAGTTATATGTCCCAATCCTGGGCACAGGCCGCCTCTCATTCCTGAAAGGGTTATATTATAGGGCATAGCTATTGCGAGGCTAAGAAATTAAAAAATATATTTCTAAGACATGTGAAGTCCGCCAACACCCACAAGACAGCGCAGTGGACACTTCCTTGCCATAAATAAAATAAATACTTGGCGTTAATAAAGTTTAGATCGTGTTTTCATTAAATAAAATTTGTCACCATTCCTAACCTGCGTTTTAATAACATCCCGTAACACATCAGAGTAGTTCTTAGTTTTGGCCGCTACTCGGTACTTGGCGCGTCGTCGCTTCATGTCCCGGAGCTCGGCCAGGATTTCAGCTCGGGACTTGGTTTTACTCTCTTTCTGGCCCTCTCCATCATGGCTGGAATCGCATATGAATTATTTATAATTTTAGCAATAAGCTGATTTAAAATGTTTAGAATACAGGAAAATCTCTAGTTACATACAGGGAAAACTCGTAATTAGAGTTCATAATTATGTGAATAACTTTTATTAGCCATGTAGATTAAAAATTTTTATAAAAACTGTTGGTGTTCCGAATAAAAAAAATACATTTAGTTCTATAGTTACTACAACTTTCGAAAACACTATAATAGCGCATTTGTGTGTCCATCACATACAGTAAGTTATATTTGAAAAGGTTTGTACCTACATCTCTGTTTGTAGTTTTTGAAATTATTGATCACACACTAAGGGTGTGGCGGGTGGAAGGAAAAGGGAAGATCTCCCGCCGGGCAAGGTGTTTTGCCCAGGGAGCGGCCAACGCTCCCAGTGGTAGTTCGGAGCTATTCTATATATACTGCATTAACTTCGGAACTTTCTTAGCGCGATTTAAGGCTTCGATGTATTTCGCTTGTGGCGCTACGCTTATCGCCGTCACAAGGGTGTCAAGCGAGCACACAATTCACCTAATGGTAAGTGGTTGCTGTGGCCCATAGACATCTATCTTTTAATACAATTCAAAATGCAGATGCATTGTCACCCAGGAGGACTAAGATGAAATGTCTCGTTTCCAGTAAAAAGGTTCTCCGGTTCTCTACACTCACCATGCAAAACACTACAGCATTGAGCTGCTATTTTACGCTGGTATTCTGCGAGAGCATGGTCCATCTCCGGTCAAGCCGACCCATTCATGCCACATACCATTACCCTCAAGCAATGGTCATTCAACTTTTAATAATATCTGTGAAAACTACCAGCTGTCCTCTGTGAATGAATAGGATATGTCCCCAAAAATATCAAATCATGTTCTTAAATAACTTACCAAGGTAGTGCCAAATCTGCCAAATTGTGGCATGAAGGTACAGCTTGGACCACAGCTTCGTGTATGGCACGCCGCTCATCTGTTGTGTACGTCGCCTGCAGACGTTCCAAGGTCCACGGCTCTGGGTTCTGGCTCCTATTACCTTGGTGTCCATTAAGGAAGTCATTCAGATTATAGCAGTTGGAGAAATGAAAATGATTTCTATAATATTCATTCATTTATGCATTTATTCAGGCTTATCAAAATCCACTGCTGGTCCACTGAGGTATTTGCCATAGTCGTCACGCTTTTCAGAAAGTTTGATATCCACAGTTTTTTAAATTATTTTGAGTTATTATCAAGAAGATGCTGCCGTTCACTGCCAGTTTCAGTTTCCCTTTATCGCCCTCTTCCGACATCCACAGTATAATATGGGATAGTGGATTCTCTCACGCCGTCACTACACAATGATGGGAATGTCATATTGCCTCATTAAGTTGTGTGACTGTTGATAGTAAAAAATCAACTTTGCTAAGCCTGCAAGCCAAACAAAGCCTGCCTCTTAGCAAGAAGACATATTGGTCACGAAATTATCAATTAATGATAAAGCCCTTCAAATTCTATCGTCATCATCACGATCACTTGCATTCAAACATGACAGTAAAACAAAGACATTTAAGTAGTAGTAATAGACTGGATCAGCAACAAATGGTCATCTGTTACTTTTGTTCTATAGGATATATTTCGGATTTATGTCCTTTAGTCTTAGGACATCATCAAAAGGTTAAGCCGCGTTCGTTTCTTAAATTAAAAAAATGTTTTTAAAGAATATTTTCTTTAAAAATATTTTTTTACCCGATATTGTGCAAAACCTGAATGTGATTTCAGGTTATTATCGCAAGTGCAATGTATATTTACATTGCACTTGCAATAAGTGCAATGTATATTTACCCAATAATTTTTAAATTTTATTATTTTTGGTAGATTGTTCTAGAACATTTATCATTATTGTAATAAGCACGCATGCATGGCCATATATCTCTATGCAGCACCAATGAATTGAGGAAATCAAAGAGAACTCTGTCGTCGACAATTCAAGCTTGCACTAGCACTTGACCGCATAGAGCTCTGCACTCTATGTGGTCAAGTGGAAGGAGCTCGCAATGGGGAGCCCCAGCCCAGAGATGAGAACAGTATTCAATGGGCTGAACCTGCGCCTTGTAAAGTTGCAAACAGTGTGCCGGCATGAATAACTGTCTCGCTCTATTGAGTATGCCAAGTTCTATAGTATACCTATATATTTAAATCTCTTTGCAGTAAAATTAGCTCAAATCCAATGAAAAATCAGTTAAAATTTAACCTTTTTTAAAATAAACCCTTATAATGGGGATCAGATAGTAAGTATTATAAATTATAATAAAAACAATATGTATATATGTATATATTATATAAAACACTTCATAATTATTTAAAGGATACAAATTTAGAAGACTATTAGAGATCTTTCTCAATTCCAGAGGAAAACAATAACAACTGAAAAGTGAAAAATCACATTGAAGTACAATTATATCCAGATTACACTTGTTGACAGATTGAAAAAAGATCTTACCTTTTTTAAACAAATGATCTGTGCTGGATGCATAGTTTATTATTGAATTAATATTATCTGTATCTGGAAGAAAAACATTATGATTAGCATCCTTATTTACTACAGCCCTAAAGCCTAAAGTCCACTGTTGAACATAGATCTTGTCTATAATTTGCCTCTCATAGGGGGATATTTGTATTCGCTATAACAAAAATACTTGACAAATGGGTTGGTAACTAATTTTTTTTATAATTATTGAGTTGTGATTAGAAAGACGCTGCCCATCTTCTGTTTTAGTTTACATTTGGGGTTTTCTGGGTTATTCACATACCATGAAATTCATAGTGCCTAGCCCGTGCTACAACTGTCATATTTTAAAAGTCCCTAATCTGAAATACTGATATTACAAGGACACTGTTAAGCAGACACCATTAATGTGTAAAATAAATATTATAGGTAGTTTGATTAGAAATATACTTGCCTAGTTACAAACAAGTGTCTAGGTTTTTTACTCGCAATACAAAATGCAGCAGTGAAATGCTATTCCTAGATGGGATCTTATTTAGCCACTTGCACCCCTTTGCTAACATTGTTGGCATGAAAATTAATATGATAAAATTAAATAAATTAATAGATACTTTGTATTGCATAGCTTATTTTATGACCCTTAGTAGCTCATAAGAAAAATATATAGCATAACAACACAACTACTACAAAGACTGTAACTTTGATATCAAGGAACTTTTTTTTATAGTATTAGTGACAAACAAGCACACAGTCTACCTGTTGTTAAGTGGATGCTGTGGCACATAAACATCTAATTCTATCCAATTGATTTAAAACCAATATGCTGATATGTTGTTACCCCGGAGAACAAAGATGGAATGCCTAGTTTCCAGTAACATGGGTTTGCGGTTCTCTACACTCAACATAGAGAAACACAGCAATATTATGCTACTATTTTTCCCTAGTTTCATTGGTACTACAACCATAATATAGCTACACCATGGCTCTACCACTTAGTAAATTAGACCTGCCCTTTACTGTATGACACTTGTTCATGCATCTGCTTTACCAACCTCACTGCAGCTGGCTTGTCCACTCTAACTACACCAGGCGAGGAAGTAATGTATCTCTGATATTAATTGATTATGCAACTATTTTATGGAAAGCCTTTCACAGTGTTATAATATATTTATATGTTAAACACATCTAACAATAATTTTAAGTAGGTCTAATTTTTTAAATATCCAATGTTAAAGTGAACATACTTAATTTAACTAGAGTGTTTGCATTGGGGTCCAACGGATCCGGCAGGAACTGATCCTCTTTCATATACCCCTGTGATTTTAGAAAACACTCTTTTTCATGGGATTTCTTCTTATCAGGAGGAAGTCTATGATTCTGGTTGTAGCTGCATATAGTCATTGGCCAGCCCTTCAACAAACATCACATTATATTTAAAATATCATCAAATATTTTAAAAGGTCGCCATTATGTCTTGTTTTATTTTGTGATCTTGTCTACAATACTATTTTAAGATCCAAATGATGATAACATACAAATTGTCATCACCATCCAACCAACTCAATTTGGTCAGTTTATATATAGGTAATAAATAAATTTGTGCATAAAAATTGCAAAGTATGTCACTGTATGTAAATAGGTATACTATAGATCCGATTACAAATTGGGTGACTTCAAGGCACGAGTGATTAGGCTTTTGTAAAGCTATACAAGGAACAAAAATATAAAAATAAACAAATCAATATGCAGTACAAATGAAATCGAGCAAAGAAAATAAATGTTATAAATAATAATGTAACCTCTAACAAACGCTTTCTGTCCCACTGCAAGTTTTGTAATATCATGGTCACTTCTTTATCCAGGCTTTCGATGTAACGATGTATTTGGGATAAGTCATTCAATCTTGTTTCCATTTGTGTTTTTAATGGGAAAACAAAGTTAATTATAATATAAAATTATAAATGCCTCATTTTTTTTATAACTGGCACAAACTTTACGGCTCTGGGTAGCTTGCTACATATGGATGCTGATAAGCAATAATGTGTCAACCCACAAAAAGTCAAATTTAGAGATATTGATGTTTTCTGATTACGCGTTACTTATTAAACATTATGCAAAAGAGTTTTAAGTTACTTAAATCAAATAAGTACGGAAAAAAATAAATTATATCATAAAACAAATGGGAAATCACGTATACAACATTTGCCAAAACACCGTCAAGCTCCTTAACATGGTCGATATTCAAAATATCTCCATCTGTCGTCACTATAAAGATGTTATGAGACTTGATACTGTGTTGCGAAATGTTATTTCGTTCTTCGGCCAGCGCCAAACAAAGAAGATCACGTAAAAATTGAAAAAATAACTGATATTCCCATTGTAATTAGTTGATTAGTTGTACAAACTGTTGTTTTAGTAAATAGTATGTAATCTACGCTGGGTTCATCAAGGTAAGTCAGTAATCATTCTGTTATTTTCTTAATAGGTTAGGCTGCCGATATAAATTAGGAAACGAGTAAATTAAATATTTGTATAGTTATATATCAAAGGAAAGCTTTTTCTTATACTAAACTAATGTTATTTGGTCCTATCATATTGATTTATTGTAACTTTTGTAATAAATAGGTATGATAAACCACTTGATTGATTATTGCTAAATACAAAACGCTTTTGAGTAAAACTTATAGTGCAGTTTACGGTGCTTAACATATTATTGCATATTGTAAGTTAGCTTTTACGAGAAATAATTTATATTTTAAGTACCTTGAAATTATATTGGGAAAATCGCTATCTAAAAAAATTGCATGAGTTATATCGACTTGTTTAGGTATTATTTTCATAGACGTCCACCACTACTACTAACTTTTTCCTTATTTTTTGTAGAAAAATGCCACTGCCAAAATCAAGAAGTCAATTACTAGTCAATCTTGCGAACTGCAATACAAAAGATTTGAATAAAAATACTGAACATGCCAACACAAATAAACCTCAAGATATCCCTGTACCTAATGTTAGAACTGATCAAGACTTATATTATTCTATAGAATTACAAAACTCCAGATGCTGTGATCTCTTTATTTATACACTAGCGGATAATATTTCAATGGATACTATTTCATCAATATTTGAGTTAGCCATTCAGAAATAAATATTCTAACAGAGCCTAATTATGTGCATCAAGCTCTTTTGGAAACAATTAACCTTTTGTTTCCGTCAATTGAAGAAAAGAAATTGAAGTTAGTAAATGATGAACATAATAATAAGGACCGACAAACTAAGAAAGTTACTAATTTCAATGGAGAAAATGGTTCGAACGTTAGTGACGACGATAAGTGGCAACCAATAGAGACATCAACTAATGGAAATGACAAAAACAGTTCAAACACATTTGATAAAAAGAAGCATTCGAATGAGAATATTTCTAGTCCTGTTTAAGAAAATGACCCTCGTCCTACTAGTGTGTAAGACATGTACAAGCCACTGTTAATATTTTAAATTCCGTTGATCAGAATCGTAAAAACATTGAAGACCCTGATTATATACCCAAAAATACAATGGTGGACTTAAAAAATAAAATGGTAGAACTATATAGACGTCTGGTCTATGTAATTCTACCCTTTTATTTCAGCATCAAAAGAAAGAAAAAACGAATACCAATCAGGATTATTTCAGTGCGAAAGGAAAAATTTTCGTGCGAAGAAATTTAACAGCAGCAAATGTAGATGTCCTTTAACATGTACGGAAAAATTGTCTATTGATCAGCGTATAAAAGAAAATTTTGGAGTTCTGGTTCTTATGAAGCAAGGTGCGCGGTTTTACAGGGTAGTATTATAGAAGCCAAAAAGAAAAACTATTCCATAAATGCCAAGTGAGCTTTTAGTATTGGTAGAAAATATAAATTGTGTGTCTGTAAAAAAGCTCAGCCCTGGGCCCGATACCCGAATGGGCGTGAACTGCGAAAATTCAAGATTTAAAAGATTTGTTAAAGCTCATTCCAACAGATGCAAGAGGATTTTACAGTTTCTTGAAGAACGTTGAGTCGGGTGGTTTTATTGATGATGAAGAAAATTTGATTGATGATTAAGCATTTTCTTGTTAACTTACATGTTATCTGTTGTTATTTCTTGGCTATATTAGTTAAAGCGATGATCACATTAGTTTTAGGTAATATTAAGTCAAAAAAAATTGCAAAAACAATGAGACTGATTAAAGTTCTGGATACATAACCACTTGCTCAGTTGAAAATAATTGGGCTAGTCAGGAAGAAATTTAATATTAAATGAATACTTAAAAATGTTCCCAAAGATCTGAAAATTCAAAGATCTTTAAAAAGCCCTGTCCTGACTTCTGTTAAAATACATTAGATATTTAAGTTAAAGTGATATTAAACTACCTCAGTTAATTAACTAACTTAACTTCAAGAAAATGATTACTAAAATAAGATTTAAAGTTGTCGATGACATTTAAGTAGGTTCCTAAATTATAGTATTTTGTTAAAAACAATGAGTCTAACGCTTAGTTGTTTAAGTTAAAGTGATAATAAAATATGTCTGTTAATTAACTAACTTAACTGTAATAAAATGTTTACAAAAATAAGACAGATTTAAAGTTATCATTTTTAGCTTACCTAAGATACTTTGCTAAGAAACGATCAGTCTGAGGAATGGATAAAATTATTATTCTTGAATATAAAATTTTCTAATCCTCAGGCTTGTTTAAAAAAATTGCTTTCTTTATTTTCATATCAATAAATATTAATATTAAAACTACTTTACTGACTTTTATTTAAAACTACTTTACAAATTGTAAGTGAGAATATACTTTTATCAATATTCATCTATGCTCCTTAACATACATTTACTTTCATTAAATCCCGTAATTATAATTTAGCAAAATAGTGTTATGTTCCTTAATTTCCTGTTTAGAATACTATAGCGTATTCCATATTTCGCAATATGCAAAAATCTAATTTTTTTACAAAACTTAGCAGTATTTTCTCTTTTTATGATAAAAATTTACTTTCAATCCATTATTTCTTTCATCAAATAGAAAAGAACCGGTGGGTGCGTATTTTTTTCAAACAAATTTATTGAAAATTGGTATGATATCTTTAGACGGCATTTTCTCAAAATTAAGTTCGTGTGGCTTGACATGGTATTGCTTATCAGCATCCATATATATTTATCTATGGCTCTGGGTTCTAGCCCAGTGTGACCATCTTTAAAATACAGATCCTGCCTTACTTTGTTTAAAAACCTGCCAAATCCTGCCAAAGTCTGTAGTGAAAAATGCCTAAATACTGCCAACTTTATTTACCATTGTATTAAACTAAGAAAAGTAAAAATACACATTTAAATGTTATATTTTTATTAAAATTAAATTAACCATATCTTTTCTTGGTTTGAATGCAATGCAATCGCTATGCTCACTAATGCCTTGCTTAGCGTGCAAGATAGACGCTACATGTTTGTTTATAAATTTGTTTCGTGTTTTTGTCTTAATTAAATTTATTTGAGAAAATATTCTTTCGCATGCTGAATCCTTTCATATTTTTTTGATGTATACCAGTAGCGGCATGCTCCTTTAAAGCTGACAGCCGGGGTGCAAATTTGCATTCTGGATTCACTTTAGTTTTGGAGATTCACGACGAAAGTAAAGGGCCTTGCTCCCACTCTGCTCTATACGCCCTTTCATATTTTCGCTTCATCACCACAACCTATAATTACTATCATCCACGAAATATTATTAACAAGATATTATCACCATGAAATCTAATGCGATATCAAACTAAAGCACGTCTCTTCTATGACTGATTGAAATATTAACCATAAACTCGTGTTTATGAATACTCGTTTTAAGATTATCAACTTTACTTAAAACTTTTAAAGTTGTTTATTGAATGTGATACAAACATAATACTTTCAATATATAAAAAGTACTCTGTGCATAATACGAGAAATACAGGGAAATCCCCCACCTGCTGGCGAAGTATCTAGTGGCGAAGTTGCCATTTTCGGCACTTTAAGTAGCCACAATAAATCTATTTTAATACCCCAATACTGCCAAATACTGCCAGGTTTTATAAAACGTCTACCGATCATGCCAGAGGCTAAAATAAGAGGCCAATCCTGCTAAAATGGCAGGAACCTGCCACATATGGTCACACTGTATTTATCTAGCTCTTCTGAGCCGGAAATTACAATGTATAATTATTATCCTTCATAGTACTTACACTGCTTCACAATATGTTAATGCGTCACATTGTGCTGTCTTTGGGAAATTTTGACGGCAACTTGAACCAGCAGACAGCTGACACCTGACCGTTGGCGATGGTATTTTAAGGCGCCTAAGAAAACAGACACCTTATCTTGAGAATCATATCACCATCAGAACACTTGTTTCACCGTTTCCACTAATAGTTCACATGCGTAGACACTTAATACACAAAATTGCACTACTTTTACATATCAAAATCCACTTCAAACCATTATTTAAAAAATAATACAGGAGCAGAAATCCTCCACCGTTCGAGTTCCCGCCAAAAACTCTTAAAAAATGCTTGTCAGTTCTCAATAAATCATACACACAATTTAATTTTTTTATTAAGATTTTGGCTTCAATGCCTGTCGTTTTAATTTGTCATATAAAATTACTTTGTGCAAGCGTCCGCCCATAGAGATATATACCTATGGAGAGGGCATATTCCACTATAGAAATAATCGTTATACAAATATCTATAATATCGACACACACTTGTCTTTAACAAAGCAGTAGGATATCTGCTGTCAGAGTGATTAGTGGTTATACGTTGTTTTCTACTGTAATGAGTTTTAATTCTTTTTCGATTTAAATTTGCGTAAACTTTCTCAATTTTCTTTGTGTTGTTTGTGTGTGTTCTGTTTGTTAGTTTGTG